AGCTTTTGATCAGGTCTTTCCACTATAAAGAACAAAATGAGTAAATCAGAGTCTATCAGTTGTTACCGATCAGGGTGTATGCAAGGAATAAAAATAAGAGAAGAGGAACTGTGTTTCCCAGGCAAACATTCTGCTATACCACAATTAATGTATTGTTAGAAAGGATGAGGTAACTAATTCAGACAACAGATCTGGGGTACCATTTAAAAAACAGCAAATTTGTAGGGTGATTTACTTATATACAGTATGTATTTCCCTTTACTGAATTCGTGGAGGAGAGTCTGATAAGCTTTCATGTTTGCCTAAGTATTTCAGAAACAGTTTGCAATCAGTTGATGTGAGTTGCTTGATCACAGTTTTGTGTGAATTGACTTATACAGACACATCAAGGGCATCCATGCAGTTGTCACATCTGTGGACAATAGCCTTGTCAGAAGAACAAAAGAGCTGCTGACCTCTGCCATTCAATATTTAATCTTTAACTTGTCAATTAGCTCAGCCCTAAATATATAGGACTGGATCCAGATTTAGATTATCTGGTACTAGGTTGGTGAAATTGGTCTTCTTTGCCTCTCCTTTTCCACAGCCCCCTGAAAATGCTCCAGAGATGTCCACTAGATCAGTGGTTCTTAACCTTTGTTACTCAGATGTTTTTGGACTGCACTTCCCAGAAGCCTTCACCATCAGCTCTGCTGGCTGAGGTTTCTGGGAGTTGCAGTTCAAAAACACCTGAGTAACAAAGGTTAAGAACCAGTGCACTAGATGACTCTTTCTGACTGGAAACTACTTGCCCCAGACTCTGCCCTATTCAACATGGTCTCCTAATTATTATTTTTTGTAGAACCGAAGAGGGTGGAGTTTGGAAGAGATGCCATGGATAAAATACTCCTTAGTCCACTTACACATGTCTTACTCTGATTCCAACCAATTCTTGTCCTTCAGCTTAACCTTTCCCCCTTGTTGTGAGGATAAGGAGGGTGTCTGTGTATGGTTCTTTTTAAACCCCATCAATCACATTGCATCTCCATTGCCAGGTACAGAGAGCAGCCTCCAGAGAATAGACCTGAGATGCCAATTCTACCCTGTCAAAACTATAAAAGTATCTATGAAGTATCTCAAGTCATCCAGGTGAGATTATTACAGGATCTAATAATATAATCCACATTATGGATTCCTACACCTGCTCATTTTGCAGTTTGATATATCACATAGCATACTGATTAAAATTATGAAGTTGACTAAAATAGTAGTCAGGACTTTCAAGCATCTAGATTTTAGTCCCCATTAAGCCATTAAACTTGCCAGTGATTTTGGGCTACTTACTGTCTTTTAGCCAGTCTATCCAACCAGATTTTAGGATAAAGTAGGAAGGAGAGCCATATATACTGCTTTGAGTACACTGAAGAAAGACCGGTTGTAAATGTAACAAATAATATAGACCACCATGTGCCTTTCATTACAAAACAAACTTGTCTTCTCTGCACAGAATAACTTGTGACTTGAATAGGGACTCTACAATCAGCTCATTAACATACGGATCTCATGTCTTACCACCTATCTACAGTTTTATTAATCAACATATAACTGTTTGTACTTTTTTCAATATCCCCTAACTAGAGATGGGGGTATTCGTGTATGTCAGACTTGGGCAAAGCCACTCCTGTCTGGCTTATGGACAGTTTTGAACATCAAAACCATTTATAGCAATTTGTCTAAAGTTGATCAGTTGCTTATCTTTAACATACCGCAAAAAACCTCTTTAGCATTTGTGAAGATTAACAAGTTTAAAGTAAAAACAATCATAACATTACTGTTTCATTTTATTTTTAAGTAAAGTTGGTTCGGCCCCCGAACACAGTTGATTTTTCATGTGGCTCCCCCATAGAAATTAATTGCCCATCCCTGGTGTACGTATATCCCCGCAAAGCTGGCTAGCAACTCAGCAGCCATGCAGGGAAGATTTGTCGTCCTTCCCACTGCCTGGAGTGGCCAGGAAAGCAGGAAGAGAGTGGAGCTCCGGGAGCAATTGGAAGGATGAGCAAGGCTGCTTCCGGCCATGTGAGTGGACAGGCCGGCCGCAGGGGCCAGCCCCTGATTAAGGCCAGCTGTGCAAGGATATTCATATTCGTGTAAGGATAACCCTCTCTCTACCCCAACAACTGATTACAATCCTCCAACCAACCAATAATTTTGCAATTGTTAACAGTTCATGCCTCTGATAAAGGGGACGTTATCTGCAAAAATTTCCACATTTCAGAGCCTAAGAGCCCTTTTGACCTCAACCAAAGATTCCTCTAGCCCAGGATTAGCTGTGTGAAGTCCATAAATAGGACTTGAATACAATAGTACTTGAGCTCTGAAAGCAACCAGTATACTGGATACTACCTATAGCCATAATGACTGGCAACCACTGATAGATTATCTTGTACATGTTTGCCCAATCTTGTTACTACCATCCAAATTAATACACAACTATTGTATCTTGAGGTACTCACTGTTTTTGTGCTGTGTGAAGTAGTGCTCCTGAATCTCTCACTTTGAAGGAAAAACAAACAAACATAAAACCTGAGGAATACAAATGAGTTCTAAACTGAGTGAAAGGAGCCCGTGGTCACTCCGCGTGCAGACTCCAACTACCCCATGAGGTACAGTGAATGCGGACTCTACCTACCCAATGAGGTAAGTCTCTAGAGGGCCAATGGTTTCCTATTCAACTTTCTTGGATAGCAAGAATAAACCTTCTCCAACTATGACTGTCTTCCATACCAGATTGCTGGAATCCTGTTAAATCTCTACAACTTCTCATCTTACCCTGCATATTAACAAAGTACAAAAAAAATTGTCTGGACTGCTTCTTCTAATAACTAGAGACTGAAGGAAGAACTCCTTTTTTGATACCATTCCAATACTCTTTCCTTTGGCAGGAAAAAATAAACATTTCAAACACATCTTTCAGGAAAAGAGTAATATATATATATATTAGCTGCATTTGGTCAATATACCCAGTTTATTTAAATCCATAAACTTAAGACTGGTCAATATCTATTCCTCCAAAGAAACGGCAAAATAACTTATATCATAAATTTTTATCTGTACATAAAATTCCTGCTTGTTTTACATAAAGTTTACAAAGTACCAACTTCTTTAGTAAATATTTGATGGAGTTCCTTAGGACAAATGTCTAAAGGCAACTGCTGATTTTAAGAGCAGACCCAAAGAATCAACTGCTGAATGGTAAGTCAACAGTAACATAAATGTCATTGATTTGATGGGCCTACTGAAACTAGGCCTAATAATTAGATTTAGGAAGATTAAAAACCTGTATGAAATGAAAGGATAGCTGAGACTGAAATGTTACACATTGAATCGGTTATGACCACTCCATCGACAGAAGGAATCTGTCAGCAGATGAGGAAGGTAATTTGGGTATTTCCATCTCTTCAAATCAGTGCCAAAAGATCCTTTGAGACAATCTCATCTCTTGTCATCTCCAACTTTTGTTACATTCCTATCTTACCCTTCTGCCAACAAGGTGGCATGTAGGGGGATCTGTGATAGGTCAGGCTGAGAGTCCCATCAGTTCTAACTAACTCAGTCAATGGTAAGGAATGGTGGGTCCAGCATTATCTGGAGGATCATATTTTGCCCACCTCTGACTACCATAAAGCCAGAAGTGTTCTCTGTAAAAAGCTGGCAAGCTCTTTCATTGCTATTGTTGCAACCTCTCCTCCTCCTGGATTTTTTAAAAACACAAACACCCTGCTCCTCTCCTGGCCCTCATACTGCACTGATTTTGAAGAACAGAAAATGTCCTCCACTTGGAGAACTTTACAGACGACATTTTGCCAGAGAAGAATTAAGTCATTCTAACTGGAAGCTGGGCAACCTGTAGCTCTCCAGATGTTGAACTGCAGCACTCTTCAGCCTTAACTAGTACTGCCAACAGCAAGGGAGCATGGAAGTTGTAGTCCAACAAAATCTGAAAGAACCGAGGGAATTCTTAATCCCTGTCAAAAACTGGATGCAGAAGGGATTATTCTTTTCTATGGCAAATCTCAGCTATAAATTTGATTCCAGTCAATTCCATTCCCAATCTCCTGGATAAACAGCAGTCTTACTGGTTGATAGATTCTAACAGGAGCACTAGCAGTAATGGAGAACAGCAGGGTTACTTTGTAAGACATACAGATCCACCTGCCTCATGTTTGCTTGTTTGTTATGAGGTAAAATCCTGAACATGGCCATAGTATACTGCTATGTAACATATTCACATAATTACTGGAAAAAGTATAGTCACCAATATTTTAAAGAGATGAAGCAGTTTGACAACATGCCAATACCCCCTTGTATCACGTCCCACCCAAAATTCATTCCCAACAAACTAATACACAGAAATGAATTAGTTGCTTTTAAGGTTTTATTAATCTTGCTTAAATTGATAAGAGTTTCTCTAAAGTAAAGATTATATAAAATGGATGTCTCTAATACAACTCTCCTCTTTAGAAGCTGTAATAGAAATACTACTTCATTTTAGCTATAAAACTTTTATTACATAGAAAACATTTGACCACTAGCTTCAAAGTTTCTGTGGACCGCCCTTGTCCAATATGTTTACAAGAGGAAACAGAACAAACAACAAAAAAGTGAATGAAATCTGCACCACAAAATCAGCCATGCGTCTTCATTCCTTGAGTATCCTTGGTCAAAGCTTGTCAGTCATCCAACACTGGAAGTACTTGGCATATTTAAGTTACCCTGAGCATACCGTGCTACAGCACGAAAGTCATGTAGAAAAATCCACTGGCTACTTTTTAAATTAAAAAACAAAACAAAACTGGCATTTTATTGTGCTAGCAGGCCAGAAAATTCCTTTGGAGAGGAGGAGGGAGAAGCTACTGTTTTGTTGCAGAGACTAGTGAGGTAGCCCAATGGGAAGAGAAATAGGTGAGCCTTGAAATGGGAGTTAAGATTCCATCTGTTCTCTATGCCAAGTAGCCTCCTCAACCTAAGGTATGAAGATAAGCAGAATAATATTGTAAATCACAGACTCAGGATTTGAGCAGGTAAGTGGCCAGCGGAGGGCAGGCTTTCAATCCAGACGTGAAAAAGCAGAGGGCCAGGAAAGGGGCAACACCCCTCAGTCTTCGTCCTAAAGTGCAGTCAGCAATTGAATTAATTAAAAAGGAGGTCCCAACAACCCATCCCAAAGCACAGGGAAACAGGTGATTATCATTCACTTCCCCTCGTTTGTTCACTAGAGCGAGGGGGTGGGAAATAATTCCACGTCTTCTCTCCCCCGCCGACCCTTTAACGGCATGGGACAGACAAATAAGTCAGCGGCTGGTAGGGGGAAGGCATTAGCACCCGACCCCAGGGAAACGACGGAGCCTCACGAAGGGAGTCAAGTTGACTCGCAAGATACGCTGCGCCCTCCGCCGCATGGCTGCCAAGCTGCGCCGGTTCCACACGTTCCCGCGCACTCGGATGGTCGGAAAGGTGGTGAGGGTGGGGGTGGCCGCCTTCCAGATCTCCTCGAGGGACCTGCCCTCAAAGGGAGTCCACGGCGGAAGGGGCAAAGCCACCGGGACAGGGGGCGCCCGCTCCTTCAGGTCCTTGGGGGGAGGCGGTGGTGGTGAGGACAGCGGCGGCGGCGGCTCTTGCTCCTGCTGCCCGTCACAACCTCGGG